CAGAGGAAGTCTGTCCCAGCCCAGGAGGAAACAGGAAGTTCCGACTGGCTGGTCCAGACATCCCCTTTTTATGTCCACTCTAGGGATGTTATACTTGACTGCTCTGTGTTTCACATCCCACACATCCTTCTTAAATTGTGGTGCCCAGAATTCTCCCTCCACTCCTGACTGCATGACTGTGCAAGGTTCCTGAATCAGTTTGGGATCTGGATCAAAGTCAGGTCAGCCCTGGATCAAGTCAGATTGGGCTGCTTGAAAGTGCCAGATCAGGCCCCAAATCAGATTGAAGAGGCCACGCGGAGCCATTCTACAAACATGTGTGCAATTATGTGCATATCTTTCCCCCATCTCTCCCTCTTGCACACACATTTGCTATAGTCTTTCCCCACATGCAGAAAAATTGGGTTCAACAGCACCCTGTTTCTCCCCTCTGTTCCCATCGTGTGTGTCCCAATCATACCCACTCTGTGTAATTATCAAACATAATCCATGCAAGTAAAAGAATTTAACCAGCAGTGTAAAGCACTCTAGAAAATACGTTGCAAACAAGCCTTTGGCAAGACAGGAAACACAGCCTTTATATCTGTAACACTCACGTGAAAATAAAAAAGCAAGTTGATCATTTAGCTACCCTGCCTCTACATTACCTTAAAAATGACGGCTATTCTAAGCATGTCTTTCATAGATATAATCATCTTGTTGGGTTTTTTTTGCTATGCTTCTGAAAGCAATGCTCGCACGTTATCCACCTACAACAAAATATCAGACAAAAGGCCTGTCATCTGTGATTGATCTGTTGCCTGGAATCCATGTTGGAACTTTCATATTGGTAATTACTTGTATGGAGGCGCTGGTTTCCTGTGTGGCAAAAGGACAACTCCACACATCCTACCCCATTTGTACCCATCACTCAACTTTTGTTGAAGACTGACCTTTCATTGACTAGGAAACCTAAAATCCCACCAGAAACATTTAAGTCACAACCCTGTTAAGCCAGCAGTGTGTGCCAGAGACTAGCAAGGAAAGAAATCTAATCTGGATAAGATTAGATGTAACGGTCCTTCAGCAATTCTTCCTGTACATCTAGACAGGAACTCACATTCCCCCTATTTTTCATAGTATTCTGGATACATGAATGTCTTTCATCACTGATGTTAATTATCCCCCAAAGAACCGAAGGTCACTTGCTAAGTAGAATGTGTTGACAAAAGGAGCATTAGGTTCTGGTGAAATCCACCTTGGTGGATTCTGTCAACGATGTTCTTTAAATCACAAACAGGCCAAGGTGGTTCCATGCTAATGGCCTTCTTTCATCAATATAGTAGGTTTTCACACTGAGTGAGTCCAAGGTTCTTTCTAAATTTTAATATTTGATGAATCATTGCATTTTAATATTCTGCTGGAAGCTGCCCAGAGTGGTTGGGGAAACCCAGCCAGATGGGTGGGATATATTATTATTATTATTATTATTATTATTATTATTAATGTCACCTTTAAAATCAACTACAGTTATCATAGCAGCTTTACCTAAAGTAAAAATTAAAATATCTGAGGGATTTTTGAGAGGAATCATGCTAGTTTTGCTGCTGAAGAAATTCAAGAAGAGTAACAGAAATTCCTATTGATCCTAAGGTTGTTTGTTTTTTTTAATAGATCCTAAAGCAAAATTCAAAATTTACCTCATTTGTACTGGGACAACCTTTCCCAGCCTTGGATGCTCCAAATGTTTTGGGCTACAAGCAGGGATATTGGATAATTTCAATGGAAACAGAAACAGAAAATGAAATGGCTCATGTTTGTGTATTTTGTCTCATGTCTGGAATGGAAATCAAACCAATGATATATTAATGTTGAGCTAGATGAGCCTTTGGTTTGATTCAGTGATGGCCTTATGCTCTGATAAGCTAGAAGGAGTATCCGTCAAAATTATAACATAAGAATAATAGGTTTCTGTATGGTGAAGCTTTGCAGCCAGATCAAAACTCACTTTGGGCCACATACAGGCACAGACACTGTGTTTGAGAAACTATAACAATACAAATTGTTGCACCACAGGCCTGAAATATCTACACTTCTACCGTGTGACTACATCTGATACAAAGAGATATTTGCGCTCAGTTCTATCTTCAAACACCACTGTCTGATCTGGAAGCCTCTAATCCCTAATAAGTGGAGACCCTCTGGAGGGAAGAAAATACATCTTTGCACCTGCTCAGACCATTTTAATCCATGCTTTAATCCATGCTTACATCATATGTCCCAGGGCATATGAACATAGAAGCCCTGGTGAGTCCTGGCAGAAATTAAGCCCTGTCTCACAACTATTCACTGGAAATACATTGCAAGCGCAGGTTCACATCCAGTAGTGTTATTCCATTAGCACAAACCTGTCCCACAAGGCTGGGCCTTGCTCTCAATTCATAGCAACTGGTGCACCCAGTGACTGATTTCTGCTTCTGCAAGATGTTTGGCAACCGCTAGCTTCTTGGCACATAGTGAAATATTTCCTGTAACTTCATTATGTTAGGAGACAGCTGTGGAACTAGCGCTATTACATACCACTCAGCCACCCTGGTTTAAGTGTGGCATCCTGGAATTACAGAAGCTATCCCAGCTTTTGGTCTGGAGCTCTGGTGCAATCTTGCTGACTTGTGCCAGAGCACCATACCAAAAGGCACTCATTTTTTGGTTAGGTACTGTGGTAGGAATCAGTTGGTTTGTGCCAGAGCGGCTGACCGAAAAACAAGCATCTGAATTGGATCACCAGGACGTTGGAGGGTATGCTATTTCCACTGAATTTCTGCTCCAGTCGTATGGCAGTTTATTCCATTTCTCCCGTGTTTCCCTAACTGTTAATTTCCGCAGTATATTTAATCTTTCACATGATGTAAAAGGCACTTCTGAAAAACTAATGGAATATGGAGTATGTTTAGTGCTCGTTTCCATGATATTTGATACCAGAAGAAAGTCTTTTGGCATCCCCCTTAACCGGAAAATCTCACGGGAGTAAAGTGATGAAATTTGGGCTGCAGTATACCGGCCTACAGTTTTCATAAGGGAACAGAAGCATGTGTGTGCAGAAAGGGAGTACAGTGGTACCTCGTGTTACATATGCTTCAGGTTACATACGCTTCAGGTTACAGACTCCGCTAACCCAGAAATAGTACCTCGGGTTAAGAACTTTGCTTCAGGATGAGAACAGAAATTGTGCTCCAGCAGCGTGGCAGCAGTGGGAGGTCCCATTAGCTAAAGTGGTGCTTCAGGTTAAGAACAGTTTCAGGTTAAGTACGGACCCCCAGAACGAATTAAGTACTTAACCCGAGGTACCACTGTATTGACATTGTTCAATGTCACTCATTGCTATTTCACACCACACCCACTGGTGCGAATGAGATTTCGCTACAGTTCTATAACACAGCAGGTACTGTGGTATGAAAGGAACATTAGCACACAGAAGTGTCAGCATTATAATCAAGTCCTGGAAACTAAGCCTTATGAGGAACAGTTGAAGGAGCTGGGTACGTTTAGCCTGGAAAAGAGGAGGCTGAGAGGAGATATGACAGCCATCTTCAAATATTTCTTTGGCTGTCACATGTAAGATAGAACAAGGTTGTTTTCTGCTGCTCTGGAGGGTGGGACTCAAGTTACAACGGCTTCAAGTTACAAGAAAGGAGATTCCGACAAAACACCAGGAAAGTACTTTCTGACAGTAAGAGCTGTTCAACAAAGGAATGGCCTTTGTTGGAAGGTGGTGGGCTCTCCTTCCTTAGAGGTTTTTAAGCAAAGGTTAGATGGCCGCCTGTCAGAATTGCATTACTTGAGATTCCTGAATTGCAGGGGGTTGGAATATATGATCCTTGGTACCCCTTCCAACTCTATAATTTTATGATAATAAGGAAATCTAACACAAGTTTCACTATGTCTGAATGCACCCCAGTAAGCTAAAAGGTAAAAGATAAAGGGACCCCTGACCATTAGGTCCAGTCATGGCCAACTCTGGGGTTGCGGTGCTCATCTTATTGGCCGAGGGAGCCGGCGTTTGTCCGCAGACAGCTTCCGGGTCATGTGGCCAGCATGATTAAGCCTCTTCTGGTGAACCAGAGCAGTGCACGGAAATGCCGTTTACCTTCCCGTCGGAGTGGTACCTATTTATCTACTTGCCCTTTGACGTGCTTTTGAACTGCTAGGTTGGCAGGAGCTGGGACCGAGCAACGGGCGCTCACCCCGTCGCAGGGATTTGAACCGCCGACCTTCTGATCAGCAAGTCCTAGGCTCTGTGGTTTAACCCACAGCGCCACCGCGTCCCCATAGTAAGCTAGCAGTTGTGAAAAAACTAGGACAAACACAAACCACTAGCAGAGCAGTGCAAACCCTAATACTTTTTTGTGCTAACACTGTGTAGGATATCGCCCATAATCTTGTGCTGAGCTGCTGTTCTGTGAGGTCAAAATGTGCCAGCAACATATTCACATTATTATTCCTGCTATTTCCCCAGCCGTTTACAGCGTGCCAATAAAAATCTGCCATTAAGGTTCAAAAAGTTTAAAGCATGGCAAAGATGGCGTCAGCGATGCCTAGGTTTTTGTGTTTCAGAACGGGTCAAGAAACACGTTTGGGGTTTTGTTTAGAGCTCCTTCTTTGTGCCTGTTGTTTAAGTTCTCAGTCTGACTTTTATTGAAATCAATGAAAAACTATCGATTTCGACGCAGAAGATGAAATCTAGATGTAGAGAAAGGAAAGAAAGCCACAGAGCTGGGGTTTTCATTTCCCCCTCTTATCCAGTAACATAAAACAAGCATTGTTTTATATGCTTAGCAAACGTTTTCTGAGTAATAATCTGGTTTCACCCTGCTGGGTTAATTCAGAGGTCCACATAGTGCAGGAAACTCGTTTTCAGCCAAGACCAACCAGACAGATGCCACCAAGAAGCTCACCAGCAGGATAGGAAGAAAGTAGTCTTACACTATTTCCCCCAGCATCTGGTATGCAGAAGGATATTGCATCTGTACATGGAGATTCCATTTAGTTTCTGTCAGGGACAGGCAGTTCTGTCAATTTCAGTTTCTCTGTTTCCAATCTCAAATCCATTTCTCGACATTTCCACTTCGACTTTGCAAAAGAACAAAGAGGGAAATTAAATAAAAGTCCCCATGGAGATCCATCAGCATTTTGGTGCAAATTTCTCTTAATATCCACATCTGTAGGCAATTTTGCCTAATAGACACATTTTTGCAAAACACTTTTTCCTGGGACAGTGCATTTTTTTCACCTTGTCTCATGGCTGGGAGAACTACATAACAAAATTCAGAGAAATGCACATTTCAAAGGACTGGTTGGTGTTTAGGTTCACATCTTGTTTTGGAGAGTGTGAGTTAGGTTCTTGTTGTTGTTTAGTTGTTTAGTCGTTTAGTCTTCGTGACCCCATGGACCAGAGCACGCCAGGCACTCCTGTCTTCCTTTTCCTCCTGCAGTTTGGTATGCTGCTCATTAAATGTGAACTGCATCAAATTTCTCCTCCACTCCTAGTTATAACGACTAATAGCGGTTCACAGTGCTAGAAGGCACCTAAAAGGTATTGTAGTCCAACCCGCTTGCAATCCTTTCTCTAATTCCAAATTCCCTGATTCTCAGAGCAGGGGAAGGAGTAAATTACCTAAAGATAGGAATATGATTTGTATTTACTTTTCTAAGAGGGGTAACCTGCAACAAATTTGAGGAAATTATTCTGAATCAAATTAACCTAATTCAAATGTGCTTGCTTAAACACACACACACAGCATAGTTTATATTCCACTAATTCAATCCCTCTCTTCTGTTCCCAATTATGGAAGCTGTTAAATTAAAGAAGTTAGAAATCAAACGATGTACTGTAAAGGCGCTGGAGTTGGCAGACTGCTACTTTAAAGAGGTTTTAGAATCCAGGGTATTGAGAAATCTTCCTTGCCACCCACTATTTTAGTATTTTTGCTTGCCACCCCAATCTCTGAGTGGTTGAGATCCCAGGGCTTCCAGCGGCTTACTCAAGAATCCATGTTTCCTTTTGGGGATGAAACGCAGCAGAGCTTGTGGCGTCTTTATGATATATGACTTATTCCCACAAATATACAACCTGTGCCTGCAATGGAGGGGCTCACAGCATTGACATTCTGAGAGGGTCTTGCTTCTCCCATAACAGCAGCTTTGAATTCTAGCAGAAATGTTATGTACTGAGTTGAATAGGATCCAAAATACAGCAGTCTGATTGGTCCTAGAACAATAGGATTCAGAATGCAGCAGTCTGATTGGTCCTAGAAGAGTAGGATTCAGAATGTAGCAGTCTGATTCGTCCACAGGAGCCACCCAATCCAGCTCCAGGTGGAAGTGAATCCGCAACCTGATTGGCCTGCAGGAGAATCCTGGAATTAGCCTATCACGTGGGGCCCATTGTGTAAATAATGTATATAAAGCAGACATTCTGGGGGAACTTCCATTCCTCCTCACCACTATGAGCTGAATAAAGAGCATGAAATCCACTCTCGACTCCGAGTATATTTCAAGAAATCAGAGGGAGAATGGAGGCAGGCTTCTTAAAACAAATCAAGGAAATTTTCAAAAAAAAGTATTTTTCACATTTTCTCACAAGGAAACAACACTTGATTCATTGAGACAACAATACCAGTCAATGCTTATAAATCCTCAATGTTCCCTCAATAACTGAAATAGGGTGGACCGAGGATTTATATTAGCAGCATGCAACCTCAGAACTACCATTCCCTTCTGTGTGAGCACATACTTCTCATTATTGCTAATAAGTATTACACGCAACAACCTTAAAACCAGAAGTGGGCATGCTTTGGAGCTAGATTAACACATGGCCATGGAAGCTGTTATGTTCCGCCGGATCAATAAGCCATTATAAACAAAATACGTTCTAGTGACTAGATGGCACAGGGGGTTTGTAAATGGCCTACTGAGACTCCTTAGTCACTAATTGGAATGCAGATGAGATCAATGGTGAGCCAAGATGGCTACCACTTTAGGGCTATACAACATGAGCACAAAACAGGGAGTGTTTTCGTTGTCTTCTACTCCACAGAATAGCTTGTTTTATGACTGGCTATGGGTTCAGTGGTCCCTGCTAGAGAAACAACAGAGAGTTAACTTAGGATGCTCAGGGCAAACGTTACATAACACACATCTCTGTCTGTCGACCATTTTTTGCTACTCACTCATCTAGCTGCCACAATCCTCCCATAGCACTCGTTGCCTGAAGCAGCTTCCCCACTCTGCCTAATGATTGGGCCGGTCCTGATATTTGGCACGCTTTTGCCCAGGGGGACATATCAGACCACTTTGCTGTTAGATAGATAAATAGATAGGAACTACCCTGTTCCAACTCCTTGAAAGATTCCATCAATGGTGTCTCCGAAAAATTATACATATCACTTGGGAAGACAGGCAAACTAATGCCAGTGTACGGGAAGAAGCAAAGATCACCAGTGCTGAAGCAATGATTCTTCAACATCAACTTCATTGGACTGGTCATGTTGTACAGATGCCTGATTATTGTCTTCCAAAGCAACTACTCTATTCCGAACTTAAAAATGGAAAGTGTAATGCTGGTGGTCAACAAAAGAGGTTTAAAGACTGTCTCAAAGCAAATCTAAAAAAAAATGTAGTATAAACACAGACAACTGGGAAACACTTGCCTGCGAGCGCTCCAGTTGGAGAACAGCCTTTACCAAAGGTGTCATGGGCTTTGAAGACACTCAAACTCAGGATGCAAGGGAGAAACGTGCTAAGAGGAAGGCACACTTCGCAAACCCTCACCGTGATCAACTTCTGCCCGGAAACCAATGTCTCCACTGTGGAAGGACGTGTGGATCCAGAATTGGCTTCCACAGTCACTTACGGACTCATTGTTAAAACTGTGTTTATGGAAGACAATCTTACTCGGCTACGAGTGATCGCCAAAGAAGACTCTGTTCTTCTGATCGTTAGGTGTTTTCATAGATTTTGATAAGATATTTTTCATAGTCCTGCAACCCGCTCTGGCGGCTTGCGGTGAAAGGCAGGCAAGATATCTAATAAGCAATCAGCATCAGCACAATAATAACCACAAAAGGAGAGCCTACTCATGAGTAAGGCAGGGGATTCAGGAAGAAGGCTCAGTTAGAGCAGAGGAAGGCACATGGAGCATGCTGCTTCTCTGAGAATGTAAAAAGGGAGGCGGGAAAGAGTTTTTGGGTTCGTGGGCTCTGTCTGGCTTGACCGGTCACAACTTGTTTTGGAACAATAGGAATAGCTTATACTGAAGCAGAATGACCTCAACAAAAGAAAAAGCCAATCCATCGGCAGTCTTAAATGTTTCAGACTAAGGAATAACAATTCGATGCATACAAAGCAAATGATTTGCACGGACCTAAGGGTCAGATCCAGCCAGCAATTTAAAAATCAATATTTAATAACAATATTTGCTCGTGGAGCTCAGTGGGACTGCCAGCAGAGTAGGAAATATGCTTTTTCTAGCCAAGAGTATTTGTGCATTAACTCTCGGCAGATGAAGTATGTGGAATAAGAGAAACTGAGTTAGTATGCGACAAGCGGCAATGCTTGAAGAACCCAGTCCTCGCAAATGTTGATAGGAGCAGAGCAGAATGTTATCCACTGAATTTCACCCATATCCAAATGTTGGCTGTGCATTTCAGGGCTCAAAAAGAACCAAGCTACATTCAAATATGCATATTTTGAATGAAAATGTGTTTAGAAATGCGTATTTTGAGTGAAACACGTAGAATATGAATGTAAGTGCAAATTTCCATGCATTATTTTTTTTAAAAAAAATTGCAGATGGATGCGGTAAAGGAACGGAACAGATTCAAGGGTTCTTGTTTTTTCCTGCTCTGGCGGGCAGGACCCGAACCAATGGCTTCAAGTTACAAGAAAGGAGAGTCTGACTCAACATCAGGAGAACTTTCTGATGGTAGGAGCCGTTAAACAGTCGAACAGTCTCTCTAGGCAGGTGGTCAACTCTCATTTCTTGGAGGTTTTTAAAGCAGAGGTTGGGTGGCCAACTGCCATGGATGCTGTAGTTGAGATTTCTACAAGGGTTGGGCTATAGATGACCCACGGAGTCCCTTTCAACTCTACAATTCTTTGCTTCTGTGATTCTAATGCAGGCTTCCTGAAACTCTTCCCTCCAGATGTTTTTGGCCTACAACTCCCATGATCCCTAGCTAGCAGGACCAGTCGTCAGGGATGAGGGGAATTGTAGTCTCAAAACATCTGGAGGGAAGAGTTTAAGGAAGCCTGTTCTAATGGTATGCGAGAGGGAGAAAAACTTTAATCTCTTGCTCCATGTCATACATAACTTTTAAAACATCTGTCTTGGTCACCATTTGTCCACTAAGCCCAGTATTGTCTACAGGGTTTGGTCACAGCTTTTCAGGGTTTAAGGCTATCCCAGTCCCAGACCTACCTAGAGATACTGGGGATTGAATCTGGAAACATCTACCTACAAGGCAGATTCTCTGTTGCTGAGATATGACCCCTCACTCATTATCAACAACAGAGGGGCCCACAGCTGGGAAGATAAATTTATTTTGACCTGCGATTTTATATATATGTCACTTCTCATATTTGAAAGAAGAAACATATATGTTCACCAAGGAGCCTTCCAAAAACAATAAAACATTTGGAGCCAGACTTACTTTTGTTTACATTACACTGCCTTTCGTTGTGTTGGTTGTATTTCATACTGTTTCCCCCCCAGAAAATTGTTTCCTGCATTGATGGGTTTCATTGGCTTTGGTGTTTGTGAATGGCAGATCTTTTCATTGTTTTTGCAATGGAAATAGTCTCTCTCCCTCCAAATAATAGATGGGTTTCTTCACAATATTTAAAGTTTTGTTGTTGTTGTTTTTTAAAAAATCTCTGTAAAAGTACTAGTAATTCACATATCCTGTCCCCCAGTTTGCTGAATAAGCTCAGTGGATGAAAAGAAAGATTCCGCAGTCTGCAAGCCCAGCTTAGATATGAAGTTCTTTTTATGTATTTAGTTTGTTTATTTGACAAAAGAATTCTAAACCACTTAATGTTTCTATAAAATGTCTAAGTGCTGCAGAGGTGCACAATAAAAATGTAATATAAAACCAATAAAAACATTTAAACTATTCAAAAACAAACCAAGAATGCAATACAATGCAGCATTTAACAAGTAAGTACACAAAAAAATACAGGTCCCATCGTTCATTTAGTCTTTGCAACTAAGGGAAAGGTTTTAAAAAATAAAAAATAAGAACATGCAAACTGATAATTAATGGGATCAGAGCAGCTGTGGAAGGAGTGAGAGCATATGGTCAAGAGGAATCATACAATCACAGTTTGAAGTGATCTTGGTAGCAATCTAGTCCAGCCTTGGGATGTTGGGAAATTCTGGTGAAAAATGGAAACAGGAGCGAAAACTGATGATGTTCACTTATTTGCCTAATGTCTGGAATGGAAATCAATTCATTAAATATAATCAGTATTCACTGTTGTCGTTACTTTCAGTCCACAAATGAGACATTTGCATTGCATTTACTTTGCATTGGAATGAATGGGGTGGAATAATGAAATGATACCTGATGAGGATTTCTTAAAAGGGTAAAAATAAGAGCAGATGCCACATCATTTCCCAAATGTAATTCTTATAAATTTGCATCTTCCCCAATACTAGGGAGCATTTTCCACATGCACAAATTACCTTCTCCCATCCCCCCAAAAAGAGTTGGGTCAATTTGCAGATCGCTATCTAGGGAAGTACGGCACATGGGTGGCACTGTGGGTTAAACCACAGAGCCGAGGACTTGCCTATCGGAAGGTCGGCGGTTCGAATCCCCGCGACGGGGTGAGCTCCCGTTGCTCTGTCCCTGCTCCTGCCAACCTAGCAGTTCGAAAGCATGTCAAAGTGCAAGTAGAGAAATAGGTACCACTCTGGCAGGAAGGTAAACGGCATTTCTGTGCGCTGCTCTGGTTCGCCAGAAGCGGCTTAGTCATGCTGGCCACATGACCCGGAAGCTGTACGCTGGCTCCCTTGGCCAATAAAGCGAGATGAGTGCTGCAACCACAGAGTCGGTCACGACTGGACCTAATGGTCAGGGGTCCCTTTACCTTTATCTAGGGAAGTAGAAGAACAAAAACAAATATGAAAATAATCTCAATAAAGGCCCTTTATCTGTGGCAACAGCTACATCATGTGACTACCAGGTTAATGCTTTCAAAAAAATAGGCAGGTAGCAGTACTTAATTCATGACTTTAATTCAGAAAAATAAAGCCCTAAAATGAATTGTTACATTTGTAAAATGTAAACACTGACAATTGGGAAACACTGGCTTGAGAGAACAGCCTTTACCAAAGGTGTCATGGCCTTTGAAGATGCTTGAACTCAGGATGAAAGGGAGAAACGAGCTAAGAGGAAGGCAGGCTTGGCAAAACCCTCACCATGATCAACTCCCGCCCGGAAGCCAATGTCCCCACGGTGGAAGGACGTGTGGATCCAGAATTGGCCTCCACAGTCACTTACAGACTCACTGTTAAAACTGTGTTTATGGAAGACAATCTTACTCAGCTACGAGTGATCGCCAAAGAAGAAGAGAACATCTGCTTTCCACACAGAAGATCTTAGGTTCAAACTTTGGCATCTCCAGGGAGGACAAGAAGAGAAATCCCTGTCTGAAATCGTGGGGAGCTGCTTCCAGTCAATGTAGATAATACTGAGTTAGATGGACCAACGTTTCATCTACTCCGTTCAGAAAGCTTTGCAAGACTCGTCTCCAGGCTGGATGTTGTGTGAGACAAAGGTAGCAAAAAATGAGAGGTGCTTGGGGTCATGATGGGAGGGCGAAAAAGGCCTAGTGTTGTACATGGCCAGTAGCAGTTGGTGGGATGGGGCAGTATAACTCATCTCACCTCCAGTTGCCTACATTGCTGCTGCATAACAGGGGGAAGAGGGGAAGAGGCAAGGCGTTGCTGAGGCCAGCACAGTGCAAATGCACTTGTGGAAGCACCGGACTGGTTTCACCTGTGTTTCCCTCCCTGCGCTCACCTCACTGCTGCATCCTCCCCACCCCTCTCCATCCTATGATGCAGCAGCAATGCAGGTGACTAGTGGTCCAGTATAGTAAAGGCTATGGTTTTCCCAGTAGTGATGTATGGAAGTGAGAGCTGGACCATAAAGAAGGCTGACTGCCGAAGAATTGATGCTTTTGAATTATGGTGCTGGAGGAGACTCTTGAGAGTCCCATGAACGGCAAGAAGATCAAACCTCTCCATTCTGAAGGAAATCAGCCCTGAGTGCTCACTGGAAGGACAGATCGTGAAGCTGAGGCTCCAATACTTTGGCCACCTCATGAGAAGAGAAGACTCCCTGGAAAAGACCCTGATGTTGGGAAAGATGGAGGGCACAAGGAGAAGGGGACGACAGAGGACGAGATGGTTGGACAGTGTTCTGGAAGCTACCAGCATGAGTTTGACCAAACTGCAGGAGGCAGTGGAAGACAGAAGTGCCTGGCGTGCTCTGGTCCATGGGGTCACGAAGAGTCGGACACGACTAAATGACTAAACAACAACAAAGTGGTCCAGTAGGTGATGCTGCCCAAACTCACTGTCTGCTGCTGCTGTTTCTATATTAAGCTGCACATCATCCCACCCTCCAGCTATTGAGAAGTCTTAGATCTTCCTATACCTAACGCCTTCCAGATGTTTTGGACCACAACTCCTAAGTGCTGCCGAGCGCTCAGGGATGTTGTCATTCCAAACTTCCAGAAGGCGCTATAGCAGCAGGTAGGGACCTCATTTTGAGTTTCCTTTTCAGGCCAGGGTGAATTTACTAGCAATCAACAGAAAATATACAAGATCACAGCAGCTACGTAGTTTGAGTCGAATCCCTCTGTTGATACAACTTAGGATGTGCACCCAATTCTTGGCTCATTAGCTGTGTTGCATCTAGCTTTCTGTGTACGTCTAGCACTGGATCAGGGCCCTAGACATATTTAATTTCTTTGTTTGCTCAGGTTTCTTTGACATTAATAAAGAGCCAGTTCCTCTACGGGCTTTTAAAGAAAGCTGCATTGACTTCAGCTAAGACAACTGTGCCAAAGTAAACATAGTTAGCATGTTAAGTTTTACTGATGCTAACAGGAGAGATCAAGATAGGAACCTTCTCTGATTTCATGCGTCTGGCAAGCCAAAGTTCTCCCTGACATTGGCTAAACAACCCAGATCATTTCGTGTAAATTCCCAAACCGCTGAAGAGTCACAGTGAGCAAGTCACAGTGAGTAACCCAAAGGATTGCTAGTCTGCCCTTAGACGTATGCACAGCTATATTGATACAAAGTGTGCATTGCACCAATATGAAGCCACAGCCTGTGAAGCTGGACATTCTCTGGATCAGTGATATATATATATATTTTAAAAATGGTCCCCATTCTCATGTACTGACATGAAAGCCCATTTTCTCTGGGGGTGTGTGTGTGTGAACATCAGAACCACATGAGCAGATTCAATTGTTTCAGTCTATTACCGAAACTGATCATTATCCAGTCCCTCCAACATCCAATACATAACATAATGAAAATCCTTTTTTACTTACAGGTGTACAAACAACCCCTCAATAGGTGTACCTAACAATCTCAACATTTTTCTATATTTTCTCAGAATGTCAGCTCATGGTTCCCCTGGATGGAACTGCCACACTAATTTTGATGTCCACTTGAGGGGATATTTTGGAGGCAAATCTTATGAAGCCCCATTATTCTTAAAAACAGCTATTGTAGTTTCCCAAGTGATGTTTCAGTTGGGTGAGAATTGGCTCTAATGTTCCTCATTATCACACCACAGAAGTGATATTGATGCCCTATATCTAAGATTTGCCTTTGAAAACCATGAACAAGACATCAGGCTTTCTACATCCAAAGCTTTTTAGTTCAGCTCAGCTCAGAAGAAAAAGACTAACCATATATTCCTGTTTTTGCCTCTGGAAGAATGCCATTACAGGCAACTCCCCATTTACACGGGGATTACATTCCGAGGCACCACAAGTTTAAGTGAAATCATGTATATTGGGAACTCCACTGAGAAAGCCTGTAAATACCTTCTAAGACACTGGAAACCCTTGAAAATCCCTTAAAAAAACCAGCAGCACTCCTGGGATTGCACTTGCAAAGGCTCATGGGATTGCTAGATGCTGTTTCTGCACCATTTTGCTGTTTTTGTGCTCTTTTCAGGCTGTTTTCACCAAAAACTTATATGCCACTTTTCCACAATGAGTGGCACCCAAAGTGTCTTATAGCAAACATTCCAAACAATTAGCCTTTTCTTATAATGTCGAACCGGATGCCTATGGGAAGCTGACAAGAAGAATCTGAGTGAAATGGCAACTCTCCCTCCTTGTGATCCCAGAAATTCATACAGTGGTACCTTGGTACTTGAACGGCTTGGCTCCTGAACAAATTGGCTCCCAAACCTGGAAGTTAAGTGTTCCGGTTTGCGAATGCTTTTCGGAAGCCAAACATCCAACATGGCTTCCACATGAGTGCAGGAAGCTCCTGCAGCCAATTGGAAGCAGCGCCTTGGTTTTCAAATGGTTTTGGGAGTCAAACGGACTCCAGAATGGATTAAATTTGGCAACCAAGGTACCTATGTATTCAGAGAAACATACTTGCCTCTGACAGGGGTGGCACTGTGGTCTAAACCACTGAGCCTCTTGGGCTTGCCAATCAGAAGGTTGGAGATTTGAATCTCTGTGACGGGGTGAGCTCCCGTTGCTCTGTCCCAGCTCCTGCCAACCTAGCAGGTCGAAAGCACGCCAGTGCAAGTAGATAAACAGGTACCACTGCGGTGGGAAGGTAAATGGTGTTTCCATGCACTTTGGTTTCCATCATGATGTCCCATTGTGCCAGAAGCGGTTTAGTCATGCTGGCCACATGACATCAGAAAGCTGTCTGTGGACAAACACCGGCTCCTTCGACCTGTAAATGAGATGAGTGCCGCAACCCCTTAGTCACCTTTGACTGGATTTAAACATCCAGGGGTCCTTTACCTTTACCTTTTTTACTTGCCTCTGACAGTGGAGATAGAACATTTCCATTATGGCTCATAGCCACCAATAGCCTTGTCCTCCATGAATTTCCCTAATGCTAAGTACATAAATAAGAAAAGGCTATGTTTTGCCCATGTATTTGTTTTTTATGCTTTGGAATATTTCTCCACTAATGTTTTATGCCATCTGTTGTGCAACTTGTCTAGTTGCCATCTTGCCTTTAGCACTCCTCCCCTCCGTTATGCCATCCTCCGTTCTAAGGAGGGCGAATAGACACCTGCCTCCCAACATTTATATTCGGATGCAAAAATTCTCTCTCGTTCAGTCTCTCAGTTATCTGTGCAGCTCTTTTTCCTAGACAGAAACAGAAATTGACCCAATATATCCACCCTTTTGTGGATATATTGGGTTCAGGACTGCAAGGTATTTAGCTACAATGACAAAAGAGATGTTAGGAATATGCTCAATACGTTTCCCAAACACTGATTGTTTTTCATGTACTGCAGGGCAAAGAGACTAATCCGAACTAAGGGAAAGAATCAGAGATAAAATCTTAACATTTGACAGCATGCATTTATGCACTTTGCTTGTTAGTGTTTTATGTTACTCCTTATTGGAAAAGTCAGTTCTACAGATTTCAGTAATAACAATAGCAGACCAAAGAAAACGGCAGTAATTATTTGGAATTACTATCCCCCTCACATAGCTGTATTTCCCAGAGGGCTATGGGATTTCTGTGAGGGGAACAGGAGTTCCCATGCAACTCTCAGCACCCTTAACAAACTACGGTTCCCAGGATTCTTTGCGACTGTTTGAAGTGGCATGATCTTGCTTTAAATGTATAGTGCAGATGTTCACTTAGCCTCCTAGTCAGGGCTTTTCCCCCAGCCAGAACACTTCGGAACTTAGTTCTGGCACCTCTCCTGGGGGCTCCAGCAGGCAGTGCGTTTTCTGGGTGCTGAAATTTGGATGGAGCAGGAGTTGGTGTGTTGCACATTTTCTGCACTCGCAATCTGGGGAACTGGGTTCGCATCTCCGCTCCTCCACATGCAGCTGCTGGGTGACCTTGGGCTAGTCATGCTTCTTTGAAGTCTCTCAGCCCCACTCACCTCACAGAGTGTTTGTTGTGGGGAAGAAAGGGAAAGGAGAAAGTTAGCCGCTTTGAGACTCCTTCGGGTAGTGATAAAGCAGGATATCAAATCCAAACTCTTCTTCTTCTTCTTCTCTTCGGAAAGAATCTCCTTAAGGGAGGTATGTGTTTTCAGTGGCTTGACAACTTCGGCGCATCCTAAAATAAAACTCAGCAACTTTGGTGGCACCCTAAGAAAAGCTCAGAAAAAGCGAGAGTTCCTGCACCTTTTTTTTTCTAGAAAAAAGAGAGCACTGCTCTTAGTACTGGGCATACTCTTAGCGCTGAAACACAAAGGCAAGTGTCTTAAATATAAGCCAAGAAAAAGAACAGAAATATTCCAGCAGTATATAGGTTATGATCACTCTGCCTGCTCCCTTTCCCTAGCTAAACAGCTAGACCTCCTTGCAACTCCATCGTACAGGATATGCAATTCATTCTTAACCTTGGCTGGCTACAGAGATGTGTACGCATAATTTAATATCCCCATGATGGCATGGTGGGAATAGGTTACATTTATGACAAGAAAAGGAACCTGAGATTTCATCATGATCAACAACGTGTGCCATCATACCATCATGGGAAGATCAAATTATGCTTACAAATCTCTCCAGGCAGGCAGAGTAAAGAAGGTGTCATATATTATGGGGTGTGAGGTGGTCTGGTTTTTTGGTGGGCTGGATAGGGAGGGAAGAGCGATCTTTGAGCTGTGCACTGTGGAAGTTGTCTCTGTTGGGTTATCTATAGGTCATTCCAGGAAACTGTCTTAAATCTTCCTACTACTGCATGGATAATTGCGTCAGAGCCGCGGAAGAACTAAAAGTGAGTCTTAAGCATAGAGCCATGGTTAAACAAAGCCGCTGGAACTTTTCCAGCAAGGTGAAAGTGATTCATTGTTAGACTGCAAGAAGGCAGACAGGAAACTGCTCAACAAAAGCTCTGTTCAGACATTAGGAGCAGCCTTATACCAAGTGAGGCTGTTGGCCCATCCATCGCAGTATTGTCTTACACCTTCTGGCAGTGACTCTCCAAGATTTCAGACATAGTTCTCTCCCAGTTCTATCTGGAGATGCTAGGGACTGATGCTGGGGCTTTCTGCATGAAACACAGATACTTTTTTTTTTTTTTAATTGAGCTATGGCCCTAGACAGCATCTTAAAAAGCAGAGACATCACCTTGCCAACAAAGGTCCTCTAGTTAAAGCTATGGTTTTCCCAGTAGTGATGTATGGAAGTGAAAACTGGACCATAAAGAAGGCTGATCGCCAAAGAATTGATGCTTTTGAATTATGGTGCTGGAGGAGACTCTTGAGAGTCCCATGGACTGCAAGAAGATCAAACCTATCCATTCTGAAGGAAATCAGCCCTGAGTGCTCACTGGAAGGACAGATCATGAAGCTGAGGCTCCAATACTTTGGCCACCTCATGAGAACAGAAGACTCTCTGGAAAAGACCCTGATGTTGTGAAAGAAGGGGACAAGGAGAAGGGGACGACAGAGGACCAGATGGTTGGACAGTGTTCTCAAAGCTACCAACATGAGTTTGATGAAACTGCGGGAGGCAGTGGAAGACAGGAGTGCCTGGCGTGCTCTGGTCCATGGGGTCACAAAGAGTCGGACACGAATAAACGACTAAACAACAACAAATTGCCCTTATTGCCCTTCTAAAATGGAGAGTGGGGATACACTTACTGACCCCACCTACTTGCTCACATCTCTGTCACACTGCCCTGCTACCCTCAACACATTGGAAGGCAGACATTTGCGGCAGGGAGACAGCTGCTCTCTACCCATGGAAGCTCCCTGCATGAGTTAGAATCCTACATAAAGTCCTTGCATGATTTAGAACTTTGCATCATCAGGAATCTAAATCACCTGGGGAGACCTCACAAAACAATAGAGAAGGTTCCTTGCTGAAGGAGCGTCTCAGCCTGGTCTTCAGCTTCAGGATCTGTCCTTCCAGTGAGCACTCAGGGCTGATTTCCTTCAGAGCATCGTTCAGCCTGGACTCTGAGGTCCAGCTCTGAGGGCCTTTTGGCCCTTCTCTTACTGTGAGGTTACAGGGAACCAGGCAGAGGGGCTTCTTGGTAGTGGCACCCGCCCTGTGGAACGCCCTCCCACCAGATGTCAAGGAAATAAAGCAACTATCACAACCCGAAAGTTACATTACCTGAAGGTCCACTGTACTTCAAGTCTGGAAGGATAAATATTCCCCATCTGTTATAAAAATGGACTGAGGAGGTTAATGCCCTTGGTACATTTGAAAGCACTATTTGTAAACACCAATTTTGCTTTGAGTGTTTATTCAGACATTTGGATGTCATATGTAGATTTATACAGTGGTACCTCTACTTACGAACGCGATCTGTTTTGGGGTGCCATTTGCACCCCAAAAAGTCTATAAGTAGAGTGCTTCTACTGCATGTGCGCGAAGATCACTTCTGTGCATGCGTGCATGGCAAACCAGGAAGTAAACACTTCCAGGTTTGCCGCGTTCGTAACCTGAAAAGCCACAACATGAAGCAAATGTAACACGAGGTATGACTGTATATCCAACTTAAGATGCATGTAATGATGTTTATTGGTTGGTTAATAACAGCCAACAGGTTTCTCCCCTCCCCTTTCCTTTGTTTTTCCCATCTCTTTCTTCCTCTTTTATAAATTTACATTAAAATAATAATAATGAAAAGCTTCTGCTTCTGGCCCCACCCACTTTCAGTTCCAGTCCCACCCACTACTGACGTGGGACCCTTGGGAGATTGCTAATGGAACGCAACCATGGGGCTGAAAAATGACCCTCACCCTTGCTATAATTCCTAGATGAGTTACCAGGACAAGAATTAATTTCCATATAGTGTTAAGTGAGGTTGGAAGAGTGCTGCCAATCTCTTCTTTTTTTTTCTATTTAAGTAGAGATGGCAGCTTTCGCCCTGCAAATGTGTTGCACCTAGCACACAGGTCCCCATAATCTCCCTCTGTCTTGTGAACCTCAAATGCACCAGAAAGCAAGCAGCCAACCTTTCGAGAAACCTCCCATACTTGACTGGCATCTTCGTTTCAGCTTAAATGTCCAAGGGTCCCAGGAAGCGATACTCAAACATCTTCCCAGTCATTCCCAATAGACCCGTTAAGCACTTCATCCTCTTTTGAAAGCCGTCAAAGTCATTAGACCTGCCGCACAGTTTTTAAAAATATAGCAGTAGAGAATTTAGCTCATCTGGCACCTTCCTTTTCAACCCTATGAAGTAATTTAATGGCTATTGGAACTTTACATATACACAGTATTGAGAAAGTTCCTGGGAAGTTTGTTGACAATGTTTATTGGCATAAATTGTACTTTGATGCTTTTCTTTTCTTAGTGTATGCTACACGTGCACTCATAAGAGCGCAATAGTCATTTAGGCTCTTTATCCTAGATTGAAGCTAATGTGCACAAAATTCCTTGTGGTGCACAAAGTTCCTTGTGGTGCTGGGCTGGGATGCTACTTCAGCACCTGGAGGCCTAATACAAATTTATTTTCGATTAGACCAGACAATTGGACCTTTCTGCACAGAAGCTGGACTGCAGGCATTCCGGCATCTTGAGCAATTTGAATGCCCTTGAACATTTCATTCCACCACAACAGCTCATATCAGACACTTCACTGCCTACAAACACTGTATAATATCCTTGGGACTGAATACAGTGTGCTGAAAATTCTGCCAATGAACTTAAATTCATGTCACCTGCACATGTAGGCTGGAATCCATACTTTACTTCTTATCTGCTTAGATTGCACGCCATTTTATTTAAGAACTTAAAAAAAAATCTTCACAAATCTAATAGAAGACATTTTCTCCTGTAATGATTGCCTTTAATAAGAAGGTGCATTCAAATTTGCATGCCATTAGTGTAATATTTCAGTAATCACGGGTAATTATGAACTTAAGCTCTTACATTTGAAATACAATTCCATATTCAATGCCGCGAATGTTCCCTAGTGAATTTTCTGACTTTAATTTTCTTCATGTGGCTCATCCATACTGTTCACTCCTCGCGTGTGGGGCACACTCTCTTTATACTTTTTGATATTTAATTTGATTTAGGTCTGAGTTATCAAAATCAGAGGGGCTGCCATTTCCCACATTGCACTTCCTCTGTCCTCAGAGTATGCAGCAGGGATATGGAGCCTGTGGCCCTCCAGATGTGGAATGATGATGCCCATCATGCCTGACCATTTGCCTTGCTGGTTGGGGCTGATGCAGCAACATCTGGAAGAAGAGTTTGGATTTGATATCCTGCTTTATCACTACCCAAAGGAGTCTCAAAGCGGCTAACATTCTCCTTTCCCTTTCTCCCCCACAACAAACACTGTGTGAGGTGAGTGGGGCTGAGAGACTTCAGAGAAGTGTGACTAGCCCAAGGTCACCCAGCAGCTGCATGTGGAGGAGCAGGGAAGCGAACCCGGTTCCCCAGATTACGAGTCTACCGCTCTTAACCACTACACCACACTGGCTCTGGAGGAAATCAAGCTGCCTATCCTTGCATCTACAGCCTTTCAGTAACAGGAAAAACCAAATTACAAATGCAATATTCTGCATACTCATTGCCATTGGTAGGTTTGTGACTTCCAGAGTCCTGGCTCCCCTTGCTTTTGCATCTTGCCCTGTCCACCATTGACATGTGGCCCCTAGCATGTTGTCTCTGAGGGAACGCAACTTTTGGACCGAAGGTGTTTCCTCTCCTCTGGTTTAGGGTGTCAGAATGGCCCAAAGCTGCCATGTTTCACAGGGCATTTGCACAGCAGGAGCTTTGAGGTGCTTAACCTCTGGAAGCAATGACGACATCCCGGGACCCTGTAGTGCAGGGATAGCATGCTTCAATGTCACAGGAGTCATTATTACTGTTGCGCATCTGCTTGTCATCGTAAGGAAGAACTGTCAGTGCCTTTAAACTGCTGAAGTAAGCATTTGTCCTTAATGAAAGAAGCCACTCCACATTTTTAATCAATTTTCCATCAAGAAAATATTACACCTCCTCAGGGCTTTTTTGTGTGTGTGACAGTATTCACTGGTACCTCTCTTTTTGCTGTCCATGGCAGCCATTTTGTGTTGGCACCATTTTCTCAAAAGATGAGCAGTAGCACCTCATTATTATTATTTTTACCTCAAGCCCCTGCACTGCTGCTACTACTTTACTGGTGGGGTTTAATGAGGCCTGCTAGGCCTCAGAGGTTGGGCCCCCAGGCTGTTTCAGATACAGCACTGGGGCAGATGGAAATAGGGGGAAATAGGGAAATGCAGACTCTCCCACCTCCTTCCCAATGCTCCATAAACCCTTGCCCACAACCTTGCATTTACCCAGGCAGTCCAGACCCTGCTCCATTTCTGGAATATTCCCAGATCAAATCAGAAGGTGAGATGCCTTCCGTATTTCTGGGAGTGCCACTGTTAAATCATGGCTGTTGGCCATGGCATCCCTACTTTTCCTGGGCCTGATGTCATATAAAATGTCAGGCACAGGAAAGTCCAGCCTGCTGCTTGAAACGTCCAGCCACAGCTGAAGGAAGAAGAATCAGAAGTTCATCTCAGTTTCCTCCACTGCAGCCTAAATACGGCACTTTTAAAACCTGGCACCTTCTCTCATCGACCTCCACCATATTTCACCTGCAGATTGTGCTTCCACTTATTCAGAGTGTGCTTCCTATTCTTCCTTTGCAGGTGGGGATTGTAAAGGAAGAGACTGAGCTACAACTTGGTTTTGCGGCTCTAGCCTGATGTCAGATGATTGACATGTGGGTAAGCTTGGCCAGCTATGAATCTCTGATGGTGGGCTACTAAAAGGGGTGGTATTAAACTAAGCTTCACCCTGAAGAAACCTATTAAATTTAATGGACCTAATGTCATGCTCATTCATTTCAATCGGTATACTCTGAGTAAAACTTAATTGACTACCACCCTGGGTCTGGCCCTGACTAGTTGTTGGCATCTGTATGTCTCAGGAGAAAATGGAGGATTGTGCCTTTTGGGGGTGAATTTGAGCTGTTGGAAGGTTGCAGTGCCTGCTGTGGCTGTGGAGATGGACACGGGGAGACATGTTTTGTTGCAACTGGGGCAGATGAGGGCGTCCAATTGTACTGCTGAAGATGCATCATGGTGTTTCTTCTCTCTGTGCTCCTCCCAGAGGTCATTCCTCTTCTGGTCACTGCTGTGGAGGAGACCTGACTGTCTGTCTCCAGGTGATCATCTGCAAGGGATTCCCACGTGGCAGGGCTGATGGTTCCAGCCTTCGTGTTGCATTTGTAGACATCTTTGTAACACAGAGTTGATCTGCCAATGGGCTTGGTGCCTGAAACCAACTCCCTATAAAGCACATCCTTGGGGATCCTGCCATCTTCCATTCTGTGAACATGACCAAGCTAGCGTAGACATCGCTGAGACAGGAGTATGAAGATGCTGGCAATGTGGACTTGGGAGAGCATATCTTTGTTTGAAACTCTGAAAATCTTCCTGATGCAGCACATGCAGAAGGCATGGAAGCACAATTCCTGATTGTTGTAAGTTGCCCACAACTCACTTCCACAAAGCAGCGTGCTCAACCTACAAGTAGAACAGGTATCATTAAATACAATATCAAAACAAGACAGAACGTTGCATGGCGCTACAATAAAATTGAGACGAGCAAAACTCTTCAACCAGCTGAAGCAATGCCCTAATTTAGAGTGCCTGGACAATCAAAAAAGTTTTGACCTGATGCCAAAACAAAATCTGCTTCCTAATACATTTGCAAACTGATGATATATTCCTGAATCATTTTTTTACCC